GCCAACTGCAGTGGCAAGCTTATTACATGGACTTTTTCCCCCTGGTATTGAGAATTGAACCAAGGGGCTTTATTGTACTCTCCATCCTCAGCCATTTTTTTCTTACTGTTATTTATTAATTGAAACTAAGGAAGAAAAATGCTACTTCAGCCTCATATTATCCCTGAGAACACAGCTCTAATACTCCTCCTCAATTTTGGATTCTGTTAGTTTACACATTTTATTTTATTTTAGTTTCTTATTGCAGAACCAGGGATTGAACTCAGGCCCTTGCGCTTGCCAGGGAAGCACTTATTCCACTGAGCCATGTCCCTGACCCCCAGTTTACACATTTTAATTCTCAAGAAGAGTACATCTACGAAGAATGAAATAAGCATTCAGCTGATCATAAGCTGAAAATACCCAGAACTCTGGGGTCTCCCTATGTCACTAAATCAACAGGCAAAGAAAAGAACAACTAATAGAATGGTCCAGAGAGAAGAAACAGGGAGAAATGAGGACTGTTTCTGGAACCAAAAGCAGAACCTTCTCTGGAGAACACATTAGTATTTCTGTATGTGACTGTAAAAGTTAATAGAAAAGCAGGAAAACAACACTGAAAGGTTATTGATACAGTGTAGCTCCACGCCCCGTCTTCCTGACTACCGTGTCCTCCTGCTCTGGGGACCCAGGCATGGGGCAGGGACTAGAGCTCTGTGTCTGAAGATTACCTCTGCCTCCAGTCACGAGGGCTCACATGGGAATGCTATTTCACCTCCTAGACATTGTTTTCCTGTGTACCCTGGTGTTAATTTCTGTGTCCTCTGAGATTGTGAGGATCAGATGGGAAAATAAGAAGGAAGCCCACACCATTAGGGTAGAGCCCCGGACCCTTGAGGGATGTTGACAACAATCTTCTCATTATCAGCAAAGCGCAGGAACCAATCTTACCTCCCTCCTCACACAGGTGCCTTAGGAGATGCCATAGAATGATCCTGAGGGATGGTGAGTGTAGGGCCAGGGGAACACCGTTTAGAGGAAAGGTACCTCAAGAGACCTGATTGAAAGGCGGGCCTCAGGGTTTCATGGGCCCTGACTCGGTGACTCAGCCTGGACCTGCTCCTTCCTCAAGGTCTCTCCTGGAGCGATGTAGGAGAGGAATGTATGGACCAATATCAACAGGTGAGTGATTCTGGAGACAGAGTTCCTAGAGGTAGCAGAGAAAGCTGGGATAGAAGGGCAGAGACCGAAATTCAGGTGCTACAAATGGGGACCACAGACCAGAAAGGCAGCTTAGGTGTCCAGAGAAGCAAGAACTCAAGAGTCCAGAATGGCTGTGCATGCACGAGCTGTGAGAGCTTCGGCCAGACATCCTGACGGGCGTGGGCAGGCTGGAGTGCTCACAGGTGGAATTCAGATCATCTTGGCCCAGGCCGGCCCACAAGAAGACAAGGTTGTGAGAGCAGAAACTAGCAGACTCTGAGCTCCAACAGGTTCCATGATCTTCATAGCACACTCTAAGCATTCTCTTCTGAAAGAAAATTCTGGAAGGTCACAGATGAGGGAGACCAGGTTCAGAGAAAATAAAGTGATTTACTCAGTTTCTCAAAGGTGGAGGGAAGAACAGGTACAGGACTGTAGTCCATTCTAACTCTCAGGTCCACATACATTCCCATTAACATGCCTGTGACCTAGTGGAGGTCATGAACCTAACTTTGCAGTGGAGACTGCAAAGAGATTCCTGTCTCCCTTCTTGGGGCATGGACCAAGTGACATTTGGCTCTGAAGCCCCCATTTTGCTAAGCACAGAGAAGACATTTTCTGATAGCTGAATTGTAAACCCTTTAGAAGTTCTATTTTCAAACTGTCCATCTTATAGATCAAAAAACACAAGGCTCAGGGTCTCAAAGTAACAGGAAGGGCATGTCAGGGATGGTCCCAGAGCCAGGACTCTTGGTTGCCTGGTGGGTCTTGGTCCTTTGCAACAGGCGTGCTTCAGGAGCCATGTCTGCCTTCATCCTCCACCAGTGGCCTGTGACTAGAGTGTGTCTCCCTTGTCAGATCTTTGGTCTCTTCATTTCTTAAAGGATTTAACCTCTTCCTGTCAGGGCTGTGTAACAGGAGAATATGAGGCTCTTAAAATGCAAGTTGTACACTCCTTTAACAGGTCTTCTTTTGTCCTCTGTCTCTACCAGCAAGCTACCAGCTCCCAGACAATGCCGAGAAGAAAGATGCACTTGGACAAGCTCTGGGACCTGAGAAATAATGTCCTATTCACCCTAATCATAAGGCTGCATTCCTTAGGGGCAATGTATCATTTAAGAGATAACCATCTTAGCCAGGAAAATGAACATAGGAAAGTCCAGCCGCATGCTGATGTTTCCTATAATGAATAGGTACCTTGAAATATCAAATTTTAAATTATTGAACACCCATCTCTGACAAAACTAAACAAAGAAGGAGGATATAAGTGAAGGTCCATTTTGTAGTGAAAAAATATATGTATATACAAAATAGGATAGATATACAGCTACCTTCTCTTAGTTCAATGGGAAGAAAGATTTATACTAAAAGTAGCAAAGGTATCATGTCTGCATCTTGTACTCTGAATAACTACTATGAAGACAACAATATGCAATGTATTAATTATTGTAACTGTCTTACTACCCTGTTTTGAAACTGTCTCATTGCTATTTCTCAATAAAATTAATTTTAAAAAAGAAAAAACTTATTTCAGGGAGTAGTTTGGTGCCCCTATTTTGCTGGTGTTCCGAGCCCAGACAGCGTGTTGCATGGTCCATGATCCCTGGGCTGTGAAAGCCACAGGACGCAGCAGAGCTTCAGCTTTTGTCTCCATCTGCCAAGCAGTGGACAGAGGAGAAGGGGCAGATGGATTTGATGGCCTCTCGGTGCCCCTCTGGCTTTGAACCTCTGAGTTTGTCTTCCTTGTTCCTCCATCCCCAACTCAGCCTTACCTAGGGGCAACAGCCCCTGATGCCCTCTCTGAGCCGAGCAATCCAGGACTGCGTAGTTTGCATCACTTTGGATGGGAAGAAACTCTGGCTACCGAATCTATTTGGCTGGGTTCTGGTCACAGCTGAAGGACGTCCTCTCAATTTGGACAAAATAGACTCTATTTTGCAGGGTTTTGGGATATGATTTTATTTATTTATTTTCTGTATATTAGGGAAAGGTCTACTGGGTGTTCAGGGTCTCACTACTAGATCGGATTCGTAGTGATTCTCCCGTTTACAGCCTTCCAATAGCTGGGATTACATGCACGCACCACCATGCCCAGTCTCAATTGTCATCTCATTGTGGCGCCAGGGGCAGGGCCGGCAAGGTAGGCCTGGGGATTGAACTCCGGTCCCTGCTCCTGCTTGCAGGTGCTTTAATCTGCTGAGCAATTTGGCTGGCCCTTGAGGATAGGATTTTAAAGAGACCAATTTAGTATTTATTATATAGACACGCAGATAAAAACTTCAAATTTAGCTTTGTCCAATATTAACAATTTAAAAAGCAAACCAAAGCCAGCCAGGTAATTCAGGCCTGAAATTCCTGTGCTCCTGAAGGCTGAGGTGAGAGGAGTTCCAGCTGTCTGGATAATTTAAGCAATTTGGTGAGAACCTGGTTAGTAAAGTGCTGGGAAGTAGCTCAGTGTGAAGTTCCTTGATTCAATTTCAGTATTGCAAACATAAAAAAATAAAAAAGGCAGGAGAAGAGGGAAGAAAAGGAAATGGAACATTTGCCCTAATATTTTCTTTTCTTTCTTTCTTTCTTTTTTTTTTTTTGGCAGAACCGGGGATTGAACTCAGGCCCTTGTGCTTGCCAGGGAAGCGCTTATTCTGCTGAGCCATCTCCCCGGCCCCTGCCCTAATATTTTCCACTTAGAAACTGTACTAGATTCTCCAGGAGAGATTTTCAGAGAAAAAAGGCCCTGTCCTGGGAATCAAAAACCACCTGATCCAGGGCTCCTCGCTGCTGGCTGTGGAACGTGGGAACCCCCCACCCACCCCATGTATTTTCTGGACTGCGTGCCAGAGAACTGAAAATTCCAAACAATACTTTTTAGATTTTGTATTGCTGGGTTTATGCATGAGATTGTTAAAGAAGAACATTCCAAGTATTCTAAGGAAAATGAGGGAAACTGCTCATGGAATCATGTCATTAAGGAAGCCCTTACAGCAGTGTTACTGATGACTTGCCCTGATGGCTGAACCATCCAAAAGACAAGCCTGAAATACACAATGACTTAGCTCTGTGCTTTCCTTCAGCTCAAAATCCCCATGCTGGGGATTGAAATACTCACTCCTGATTCCTCTGGGAAGGGGTCTTTGCTTCAGAGCTGATCCTCCTGAGCCTTCCCAGAACACCAGGACACCTTCTGGCCTGGGGACAAAGGAGACTGCAGGGAGGGGGCAGCAGAGGTCGCACAGAGGCACGCGCTAGGCTGCAGGAGGACCAGGGAGGGCACCAAATGGAATCTCAGGCCCTGTGCTGGATTCTCTGTTCCTACAGAGCCATGGCAAGAGGCCATTAAGGGGATCCCTGTCAGGAGTGATTCTTCCTGCCTTGAACATTTTCAGTGTCATTACCTTGACTCTAATGATGACAAACAGCACCGCATGCAGAGACAGGATACAGAGTATTCAACTTGGATGGAGACAGTAAAGGCACTGCACCAAACAAATGGGAGAAAGGAGCCAGTTGCTGGTTAATTACTAGAGAAGTAAGTTTTGGAGAAATCAACCCTGCCTAGCCAACTAGTGACAAAAATTTCATTAAAAAAAAACACTTTAGCATATCCAAAACAGAAAGAAATTGAGAGTCCTGATTTTTAACAAGCCCTTCCCAATCCTCGGCAGCCTAAGAAATTTATATTTGTAACGCCAATGAAAACTTAGTGAAATTTTAGCAAGTTAATTCCAATCTACAATTTTGGCACACCCCCTGAAGAGAATAAAGACACTAGGGCTTATTTGTAATAGTGGGGAGCCAAGGGGGTCCTAAGTCCAGCTAAGATGATGGCTAATCGCAGCAAAGGCCTCAACTCAGGGCTGAAGAACCTGGGACAAAGGAGACTGCAGGGAGGGGGCAGCAGAGGTGCTTCATCTCTGATCTGTAAGATATTTGTGCCCTGGGAAGTCAGAGTCTCTTTATTAATTAATGAAGAAGGGGATGGTTTGAGGATGAGTGGCTGGGGGTGGGGGGTGAGTGCTGTGAGCTGGGCCAGGGAGGTGGTCTTTAAACATGTCTGTAATATGCAAAGAGAAGGATGTGCAGAAGGAGTAATCTGCCTAACACAATTCAAGGTAGTAGCTAATGTTTTGGGGATAGTGCTTCATCTCTGATCTGTAAGATATTTGTGCCCTAGGAAGTCAGAGCCTCTTCTGTCGAGCATGGATCTCCATCCTGCCCCAGCTCACACATGTATTTTGAGAACTACAGGGGCAGGGTAACACTGACCTGCCACCTTGCTTCAAGGACTACACATCAGCAACTCAGCTGAAATGACCTGCATCGCTTAAAGCCAATTGAAGGAAGACTTTACGATATTGACACTGGCATAAGATCTACAAACTGCTGTACAGGGTTTCAGGGTAAATCCTGAGGGGATTTGACTGACCTTGTCAGATACAAAAGTTACATTTTTTGTTATACAGGTCTTGTTTTATCTTGGTCTTAACCATCTAGCAGAAAAGTATAAACATGAAGTGTAAAAAGTAAAGCCATATTAATATGTTGAGCTATAAAAGGCTCAAGTCAACAACTTCTGACATTGCCAATTCCTTGGATAATCCACTATGATTATGGACTACTAGACTATATTGGATTATTTTGCTGAATTCACACACCTATAATACTTGAATAACAATAGAATACTCATCTCTGACAAAAGTAAATTAAAAAGGGGGATATAAATTAAGGTCCATTCTGTAGTGAAAAAAAAATATATATACAGATATCTGTATGTACAAAATAGGATAGATATACAGCTACTTTATCTTAGTTCAGTGAGAAGAAAGATATGTACTAATAGTGTTTAGCCAAGATATCATGTCTGCATCTTGCACTCTGAATAACTACTATGAAGACAACAATATGCAGTGTATTAATTATTGTAACTGTCCTACTAACCTGTCTTGAAATGTCTCATTGCTATTTCATTTTCAATAAAATTAATTTTAAAAAAGTCAATTGAAGGGATAAGAAAAGTCTTAGCAGCACTTTACATATCAATACAGGGAAATAGGGTCAAGTTTAGCCAAAATAGAGACAATTGCCCTTTTTTTTTTTTTCAGTACTAGGGATTGAACTCAGGACCCTAAGCTTACCAGGCAAGTGCTTATTCTACTGAGCTATCACCCCAGCCCACAAATGCTCTTCATTCAAGGAGACTCATACAGATAGTGTTCCACACTGATTTTATATCCCCAAAGACATCATAGGGGGCATGAGAAAAGGACTCAAACTTTCTTCCATAGCACATATTGCAATTACAATTGAATAATTATGTGATTTCTTTTTTATTGTCTTTCCTTATCATTAGAATTTCAGCCCCACTAAGTAGAAACCTTCTTCATCTTAATTACCTTGTCTAAAATATAGCCAACAAATGACACATGGTTTGACTATTGGTGGTATTTTTTCTATACTTGATTTTGGAGGCACAGGAATTTTGAGATGAAATAATTAGGGAAAGGTTGTAAATAAGCATGGTTACATTAAATAATCCACAGTCATTCTGTACTACTTGTTCCAAAACTCTGGTTGTTCTGCTTGCAGATCAGCCTGCCTTCCAGGTTATCCATCTGCTGAGTATCCAGCTTTAAAACCAGCTATGGAGCCCATAACCTATAATGGATCAGAGGATTCCCCACCACCTTCTATTTTACAGGCATCCCATCTCTGCCAAAATATCTCTTCCTTCTCAGCTTTTTCTTCTTTCTCCTCCTCTATCTGTTCATCATCGTGGGTGACGCCCTGATCCTGGGCTGTGGTAGCAGAGCCCAGCCTCCACAAGCCCATGTACTTCTTCCTAATTAACCTCTCAGCCCTAGCTAGGCACTCTGTCTACTACTATGACTGTCCCCAAGATGTTATCTCTGTTTCTTCTGGGTGATCACTTCCTCAGCTTCCCCACCTGCTTCCTGCAGATGTACCTTTTCCATAGCTTCTCCTGCTCTGAAGCCTTCATCCTGGTGGTGATGGCTTATGACCACTACGTAGCCATCTGCCGCCCACTGCACCACCCGGTCCACATGACCCCACAGACCAATGCTGCACTGGCAGCCAGCGCCTGGCTCACTGCCCTGCTCCTGCCCACCCCAGCGGTGGTACAGACCTCTCAGATGGCATTTGACAGCATTGCCTACATCTACCATTGCTTCTGTGACCACCTGGCTGTTGTCCAGGCCTCCTGCTCTGACACTAGCCCCCAGACCCTCATGGGCTTCTGCATCGCCATGGTGGTGTCCTTCCTGCCCCTCCTTCTGGTCCTTCTCTCCTATGCTCGCATTCTGGCCTCAGTGCTTCGCATCAGCTCCCGAGAAGGACGTGCAAAGGCCTTCTCGACCTGCAGCTCCCACCTCCTGGTGGTGGGCACCTACTACTCATCCATCGCCATAGCCTACGTGGCCTACAGGGCTGACCTGCCCCTCGACTTCCTCATCATGGGCAATGTGGTGTATGCTATTCTCACACCAGTGCTTAACCTGCTTATCTTTTTTTTTTCAGTGTTCATTAAAAGTAAATGTGTTTCTCTAAAGAGAAGTTTTTATTTATTTATTTTATTTTATTGAGAAACAAGCATCAATGAGACAAACCCAAAGCTAATCAATAGGACATTTTCAATAATTAATACATTGCACATTGCCATCTTCCTAGTGGTTATTCTCAGTACAAGAAGCAGACAGGACATCCTGTCCAAACACTACTACTACAAATCTTTCTTCTCACTGAACCAAGCAAAAGTAGCTGTACATCCATCCCAACCATTTTGCATATACAAATACAAAACGGTCCTTTCTCTGTATCCTCCCCCTTTTGTTTAGTCCTGTCAGAGATGGAAATTCCATTGGCATCTAAACACTATAGGTGCTTGAACCCAGCAAAACAATCCAACACAGTCCAGCAGTCCACAGTAGTAGTGGGTCATCTGCAGAAGTTGCTGACCAGAGCCTTTTACAGCTCAGCATACTGACTTGGTTTCACTTTACATACCTCATCTTTATACTTTTCTGCTGGATGGTTAAGACCAAGACAAACCAAGACCTATATAACAAGAAATGTAACTTCTGTGTCTGATAAGTTCAGTCAAGTCCCCTCAGGATTTATCCTGTAACCCCGTACTGCACTTTGTAGATCCTTTGTCAGTGTCAGCCATGTGGACGAGCCACAGCCACCGCCTGACCAATGTGCTCTCCGTGAAAGCCTGAGAGAAAGCTTTCTCTCCATGTGACTCTCCCCAGGCACACTGTACATCATCGATCACATTCCTCTGCAGCCCTCCAATCTCCCTGATCAGAAAATCTGGGGCTAACTATATATACTGATACCTGTGAAATAAGCAACTGCCCTGAAGATGGTAATCTGTAATAGTAGTTTCATGCTTGGAGTGCCAGTCATTCTGGTCTTCTGAATATGGGCTGCTTGTCATGACA